AACGAATTTGGGAACTCTCCGACTATTGGTATCTTTATTTGTATGAACCAAGTATGGGAGTTATTAACCTCTTACAAAAGAAGATTGCCTTGCAATAAAAGAGGAACCAGAATCTTCTAGTACAATACAAAATTGTAATTATGTTAGTCTTTTTAACAAAGGAGTTGCTCAGCATTGTATGTGGAAAAAGCTTCTGAAATAGTAAGAGGAGCTCGCCGTTTGGTAATAAACTATAAACCACTTAATAAAGCATTAAGATGGGTTAGGTACCCTTTTCCTAATAAAAAAGATTTGCTCGATAGACTAGTAAATACCTGTATTTTTTTTAAATTTGATCTAAAATCTAGGTATTGGCAGATCCAAATTGCTGAAAAGGATAAATATATGACTGCCTTTAATGTCCCTTTTGGGCAATATGAATGGAACGTAATGCCTTTTAGTCTTAAAAATGCTTCTTCAGAATTCCAGAATATTATGAGTGATATTTTCAACCCTTATACAAAATTTATGATTGTTTATATTGATGAGGTTTTAATATTCTCTGAAAGCATTGAACATCATTTTAAGCACTTAAATATTTTTGTTAAGGCAATAAAATCTACAGGACTAGTCATTTCAGCTAGAAAGATTAGTCTTTGCCAGATATGAATAAGATTTTTAAGACAATATCTTTCAAGGTAGCATAGTCTCGATTGATAGGGTTATTGAATTTTCAAATAAATTCCCAGATATCCACAAATAAAACTGAGCTTCAAAGGTTTTTGGGTTGTCTAAATTATATTGCTGATTTTTATAAAGATTTAGCTATTGATGCTGAACCATTATTTCAAAGATTTCGAAAAAACCCACCTGAATGGACTGATATTCATACGATGGTAGTAAGAAAAATAAAATTAAAAGCCAAGAAATTACCTTGTCTTACACTTTCTAACCCTGCTGCTTTCAAAATAATTGAATGTGATGCTTCGGAGATAGGATTGTGAGGAATCCTAAAACAGAAAATTGAAAATACTGAACAATTAATACGATTCACTTCTAAAGTTTGGAATCCAACGCAGCAAAATTACTCAACGATTAAAAAAGAACTTCTTGCTATTGTTCATTGTGTCACTAAATTCCAAAGTGACCTGCTCAATCAAAAATTTCTTATCCGCACTGATTGTAAAGCTGCTCGGGATATTATCCAAAAAGATGTCAAAAACTTAGTTTCCAAGCAAATTTTTGCTCGATGGCAAGGTATTCTCTCTTCATTTGAATTTGACATTGAACACATTACCGAAAATACTAATTATCTTCTTGATTTTTTAACCCGTGAATTTTTGCAGGGGGGAGAGGATGATAGCAAACACCAGCACCAGCAAGGGAAAGGGAAAAATGGAATTAGTCCGTGTACCAAGTAGAGCCCTAATAGCCTCAACCTCACCAATAACACCCAATCAAATAATTAAAAAACAAGCGCAAGAAATAACATTCTCGCCTGAACCAGTTCCAATAACATCATCAATAGAAGAAAAAAGTAGGTTTCTGAAACCTCTTTTGTGCCAATTATGGTAATAGAAAATATCCATAGAGATAATGATCCATATGAAATAGCAAATATTTATATGAATAACCATATACATCCAAATGATGGAGATAAGACCAGAGAATATTATGAAGCTATCCTCCTAGAAACAGGATCAATTACATTGGTCCACTTCTATAAGAAAAATACAAATATGATAGCCTACTCTAAATTTCAGATACGAAGAATACTTTCATATAAAGATTGGGGTATGGAACCTTCAAAACCAAGAAAAATGCAATCAGAAGGATTTACTAGTGAATATTTTCAATACTGCAGTTCTTGATGAAACCCTCAAAAGGATGGGTTTTGGACCAAAGTTGAGAAGCATGATTAGAGCGTGTATCTCTAACCCCGTTTTCTCAGTTCTCCGCCAGGGGGATTCTCTGTCTCCATTCTTGTATGCAATTTTGGCTGAGGTCTTCAACGCCTCTATCTCGCGGTTCTACGAAGCAGATCTATTGAGAGGATTCCATTCAAGTAATCACGGCGCGTGCTTTTCCCATCTTGAATACTCAGACGACACCCTCATCTTCTGTGACTCCTCGGTACAACATGTCGATATTTAAAGTGTTTCGAGATGACTACCGGGTATAAGGCAAACCTTACCAAGTCCAAGATGATGGGGGTTTGCACTAACCCTTCTCAGTACATTTCCTAGCCTGTAGGTGGGGTTGCTCTGTTGAGACTCTACCCTCTTCATACCTCGGACTCCCCCTTTGCCTTGTGATGCCCCGACTCTCTCAGTGGAGCCACATTATTGATAAATTAGACCGGAGATTTGCGGACTGGAAAGGCAGGATCTTATCCAAGGCGGGCAGGCTCATGCTCATCAAATCCACCCTAGCTAACATGCCTGTGTTCCAGATGTTGTTATTTTGTATTCCTGCCTCTATAGCTGCTAGACTAGAGCGAATGACGAGGAAGTTTTTCTGGTCTGGGGAGCGCGGGCACAAGTTCCATCTCATCTCCTGGCCCAAACTGTGCTTACCAAAGTCTTAGGGGGGTCTGGGTATTCGCAGTCTTAGAACCCACAATAATGCCCTCTTGGGCAAGTGGTGATGGAGGTACGCAACCCAAGCCACATATGGGGAGATGTTATCAAGCACAAGTACTGCCATAGCATCGACCACTGGACTCCTGTTTGCAGAACTAACGGCCAAATTTCTGGCTTCTGAAGGTCATTTCTAAGATTCAGCGATCTATTCTTTCATCACATTTGATTTCGCCCAAGGGAGGGGACCAGGGCGAGGTTTTGGAATGATACGTGGGTTGGCAGTAGACCTCTAAGGGATCAGTTCCGTAACCTTTATCTTATAGCGCGTGATGGACAGTCAACTGTGGCTGACAATTTTGGGATCCCAGGATCTCATAGATCTGGAAGCCAAATTTCAGGATACCCCTAAATGATTATGAACTCGTTGATTTCGGGGCTTTGGCAGAAATGCTCCATTCAGTGTTACTTCCAATCTTCGGAGACGACAAGATCATTTGGGAGCCATTTGGCATGGTGATCTTTTTCTCATTTGAAGTGTCACCTCCAACCCCAACACTGCTGTTCGCTACCCCTCTCTACTCTCTAAAGCCTGGAATCGCATTTTACCACCAAGGATTTAGGTGTTCTGCTGGATAGCTCTCCACAAGAAACGGTAGATCTTCTTCAAAGAAGAGAATTGCAATGCCCTAATAGATGTACCTTGTGCATGGAGGCTGAAGAATCCAATGTCCACTTATTCCTCCATGTGCGTTCGCAAGAGCCTTACGAACCTATCTTATGGGCCTATTCAAGTGGACATGGGTCACTCCAAGCTCCATCCCACACTTGTTTCAGGCTTTCCTCTATACTCCCTGGCCCAAAGGCAGGAAGAGAACTTTGGAAAGCCTCTGTTTCAGCCACAATGTGGGTTTTATGGATAGAAAAGAACCACAGAATTTTCAGAGAGAGATTTTGGTTGCGGTTTTGGTTGACAAAAATAGAAACTTAGTGGCTTTCTGGGCTACAAACCACAAGTTGTTCAAGGACTTCTCCTACACTTTCATAGGAATTGGCACAACGTATTACATTTGGTCAATCCTAGGATCACTTTGGAGACCACCTGAGCTAGATTCCATCAAGCTAAACTTTGATGGTTGCTTCCTTTGCGACCCTAGTCCGTCCGGAGTAGGCGGTTTTTTTTGATATACTGATAGACAGACCTTGTTAGCCTATTCCTGCACCATTGGCCTCGCGGATTCCACTCTAGCTGAGGCCCGTGCCCTTTTGGAAGGCCTCCGAAGATATGACAACACTTGGAGTCCTAACTTGTGGTGGAAGGGGACTCCAAGAACGTCATTACTTGGGCATCTGGTATCTCTTCTTGGCTGTGGCGTATAGACAATATCTTTGATGGGATATCCCAGCTGTCCCGGGGTTTATCAATCTCATGGTGCCATGCCAATAGGGAAGTCAACTCCGATGCTGATCATCTTACTAGAGAGGTGGCCTATTCTAACTCCCCGGTGGGGCCTTAGACTTTTGTGGTCACCCTTCTCCCCACCACCCATTTCCCTGGAGTTGTAATTCTTCTTTTTTTAAGCTTTTTTGGACCCTTCGGGGCTTTATAGGGTGCCCTTTCAGAGGGCCTCATTTTTTGTACACTTAATTATTTGGTTATACATTTATAGTCAACTTCTCTCAAAAAACAAAGGAATTCATGGGGATGCCTGGGTTCCTATTGTAATGTGTTGAATCATATTTACCATGTGCTAGAGCTTACCCATTTCATTCTCTATTCAAGCAGTCTTATGCTTTTCTTAGATCATAAATTATAAAAGGAAAGGAAACCATTGAGAAACTAATGGCAAATAACCTTTCTTTCTTTTCTTTTAAAAAACTAGAAATGACGGTTCTAGAATAGCTGCTACATACTCCTTATGACATTTTTCGTGTCTTGGTGACTGTCATGAATGGTAATAAATCTTGTGGAAAGGAATAATTTGATTTATTTTTTTCACTGAAAGGGATAATTTGATTTATTGTTTTTGCTGTTAGTTTGCTTCTTCTGAGTGTTCTCAATAGTTCTACTTACTGGGCAACTCAGAATCAGCAACTGAAATGTTATATTTTGAAACTAAAGTGGCTATAATTGCCAGTTTCCTTAGCAAATAATTGGGATAAGGCTTGGATGATGATGATGAATTGCCACTTTTCCTCTTTGAAGATTTTTGGAGTTGCACTGAGGATATGCCTAGTAAAAAAAAAAGAAAAAGAAGAGCTTGAGGGTGTGGAAAATTCCAAAGACAATTACTTTGAATTTGTAATGGATTGCCAATAGTTGTTTAATTTCTTGAGAACTTGTATGTTATGGACTGCAAAATTATATTTTCAGTCTTGCTTTGTAAACTCTTTGTTATGTATTACCATGGTTGTTATAGTGCTTCCGGATGCTTAATGCAGGTGGAGATAAGCAAGCGGTTGCTTTTGGAGAAGGAGCTAACCCTAATGCTAAACAGGCTAAGTCTGCAAAGCCTCCTCCACAGAAGAAAGATGGTGCTCCAGGTGCTAGTTCTGGTGCAACCTCTGAAAAGAAAGGAGTTGATCGTCCTCCTGAAAAGGAAAGGAAGAAAGACGTTCCTGCCCCTCGTATGCAATTTGATGATACACAGAGGGTGGAGAAGGCTAAAAGGCGTGCGCTGGTTAAACCAACTGAAACAATGAACAGAGTCGAGTTGTTTAGACATTTACCTCAGTATGTTCATGGAGCTCAGCTCCCTGCTCTTGAATCCAAGTTTTTTGAGGTTGACCAGATGCATCCTCATCCTGCTGTTTACAGGGTATTGTTTGAATAATTTCCTTTACTTCAGTTTGTTGTTTCTTTGTGCGACATAGTTGAAGAAATATGATTGATAAACAACACGGCTGTGAGGAATTGATCATTTAAATGTGGAAAATCTTTTGTTCTTTTTATATTAGTTATCTTCCTGTTAACTCTCTCTCAACAGGTTGGGTTGCAGTACTTAACAGGAGATATATCTGGTGGCAATGCCCGGTGTGTTGCAATGCTTATGGCATTCCAAGAGGCCATTAAAGACTACACTATCCCTCTGGAGAAAGTTCTTATAAGAGATTTAACTGCGAAAATTAACAGCTATGTTTCGTTTCTCATTACATGTAGGCCCCTTTCAATTAGTATGGGGAATGCAATTAAGTTTTTGAAAGCTCGAATTGCCAAGTTATCTGTGACGCTCTCAGAGTCAGAAGCAAAAGCAGCTCTTCAGTCAGATATCAGTCGTTTTATAAATGAAAAGATAGTGCTTGCAGATAAGGTTATTGTTAGGCATGCAGTAACAAAGATAAGAGATGGGGATGTATTACTTACATATGGATCTTCTTGTGTCGTAGAAATGATACTATGCTATGCTCATGAGCTTGGAAAACAGTTCCGTGTTGTGGTGGTGGACTCTCGTCCAAAGCTTGAAGGACAGGCACTACTTCGTAGATTGTTGGCAAAGGGTCTCAGCTGTACATACATTCATATAAATGCTATTTCATACATCATGCATGAGGTAACTCGGGTTTTCTTGGGAGCTTCTTCAGTGTTATCAAATGGCACTGTTTACTCAAGGGTTGGCACTGCATGTGTGGCAATGGTGGCTCATGCGTTCCATGTTCCTGTTCTAATTTGCTGTGAAGCATACAAGTTCCATGAAAGAGTGCAACTTGATTCAATTTGCTCCAATGAGCTTGGTAAGCGACTGACTGTGATGATTCAAAACGTTGAAGTAGCGTGGCTAGTCTGCTCTGGAGAAATTTCTTGTGGGCTAGTTGAGTTGGAAGTCAAGGGGAAATTTGGTGACATCTTTTATTTTCTTAAAACCTTCTATGTAAAATTTCAGAGAAATAGAAAAAATAAAGGATACGATGCTATGTGTAATTGCATCTTTTGTTATTTGGTACACGTAGGCCCTAGATTTGAGTAATTTGAGATCCTGTTTAATGCTTTGAAAAAAACAGTGTTAAAGAAGTCACAAAAAGGCAGGAGGCTGTTTTCAAGTCACCTGTCGCCCCCCTTCTGTCAACTTGAGTTGTGTTGGAGACACAAGTTCAGTGGCCTGAGTCTCTGAACATAACGTCAACTGGTTAATCTTTAATCAATGCATTTGTCTAAAGTTGCGGTTTGACAAGCATAAAGTCAAAACTAGTATCTGTTTTGTGTTTAATCAAGGCATTTGTGTAATGCTGTTGGTTTGACATTGTTATGGCCCATCATTTTATAGGGGACCCAGATGCCTTATCGAAGGTTCATGGAAGGAAGGACCTGAATCATTTGGAGAATTGGGCTAACAATGAAAAGCTACAACTTTTGAATTTGACGTGAGTATTCAAGCTTCGAATTAGTTGGGTAAAACTTATGCTTAGGAGTTTCTCATTCTTCTGCAACTGAACTGATTATGTCATTGGATATTGCAGTTATGATGCTACTCCCTCAGATTACGTATCCATGATTGTCACTGACTATGGCATGGTATGTAGTCCTGAATCTTTAATGTACTTCGTTATTTAAGACTGTATAAGATGCATTGTAATTAGTGATGTTCTTTTGGTTGTGGATATTCTTATGAATGAATCTGCATAGTTGTTTTGGTCGCTTGATGTTTATCAACGTGGCAACTAAGTTTGAGTGTCTAGTCTGAAAGAAGGTAATGGTTAACGTCTGTCTATGGCTGGTAACTTCACACCTTCTACATGTGCATATTCATCCCATTGGGCATTCATATATTGATTGGTTTATTGTCATGGTTCATGCGACGATATGCTGGCAAGCTTGTGTCATTTGTACACAAGCGGTGAAAGTAATCCACTGCCTACTCCTTTACATACTTTCCTTGCCCTTTGTTTTGTACTCCTAGTTGAGGGCCTTTCACCATTATAGTTGAGAAACCCCCACTTTGAACAAGCATCGTTCCTACACATAATGGAGACATAATACAATAATATTCTCTGTACCAACCCGGGAAATCATTATCTGTATTCATTACTACTTAAAAACGGAAAAAAAAAATCTGGAAATCATCATCCTACAAACTTATGATAATTAACTTGAAAATTGTTATTCATTTCTTCTGCATGACAACTTATACTTGCTCACAAATTTATTCCATACGCATCCCAAATACATACCTGCTTACGCTGGAAACCTTTTTACTCTTGATGGAAATATGATTAGAAATAAGCGTTCTTAATTATAGAGAACCCCAGTGGAACCACCATTTTGCTGAAACTGATTAAGCTGGGCCTACCAGCCATGCATATTTACTTGGGTTAGGCTTCTTCAAATAAGTTTTAAAAATCTTCAGTTAAATACTTGTAAATTTTTCGTAAGGGGCTCCCCTAATTCATGATGCCTTTACCAGGACTGAGTGGCCCTATGGCCTGGACTCATGGTATTGACTCTGAGTCTCTGACAATATTAAATGCAATAAATTCGTAAAACGACTTTGAATCAAATGGGCATTAATAACATTAAATCCAACCCCAGCTTGATGAAAGAATCTAGCTATGTATTGACAAACTTTGTTCCTATCTTTCTTATATCTATTTTCTAAGGGGACTCTTGCTTGAAAGAAAAGGAAGGTGTGCTTTCTTTAAATTTCTTTGCCACAGCCTCCTCGGGATTAGAATCATATCTATAGGAGTCTAGAGGTTTATTTGTAAACTGTCTCTATTTGTAATCTATTGCAAGTATGAATCCTTATAGTATAGGTAAATCATGTCCATGCCCTACTTTTCTTCCTTTTCTTCTATACCTGAAATGTCATCTAGGCTTTTGAAAGCCTGTTTTCTTCATTTTGAATTTTTATTGCCTACCCTATAGATATTCTAATCTCTGGCTTCTTAATTAAAAGATTTTCTTACTTCTGGTTGTGTTGGTAGAGTAATGAACAAAATGCTTTTATGGTGATAAATCCTGCCGTTGCATCTTCTTATTTTTCATAGGAATCATACATAGCAGAGTTTTTGCCTTTGGGCTTAAGAATATGCCTATGCTTCCACCCTGGATATCTTACTTCATCATCATCATCATTATAGCCTTTTCTCAATTAATTGGGGTCGGCTACACGAATCCTGGTCCTCCATTCTTTTCTATTAAAGGCCATAGCCTCAGTGAGGCCACAAGTCCCCAAATCTTTCGGATTACTTCCAACCACGTTCATTTGGGCCTACCTCTTGCCCTTTTCAATACTTCCACTTGAACTAACTCGCCCCTCTTAACAGATGCTGTATTGGGTAGGCGCCACGTCCTGGATATCTTACTTACAATAGAAAAAATAGGACTTAACAATCTATTGCAATATTGTTCGCGGATGACATAGTTTTGATTGATGATACTAGAGACATGTCAATGCAAAGTTAGAAATTTGGAGGGATGCTCTATAATCTAAAGGTTTTAAAATTTGCCGGACTGAGACAAAATATATAGAATGTAAATTTAGTAATAATAGAAGAAGAAACAAGGAAGTAGTTAAGATTAATGGCCAAGAAATATCTAAAAGAGATTATTTTCGGTATCTTGAGTCGCTAATCCAATTAAATGGAGAGATTGAGGAAGATGTCGGAGATGGGCATTCGGGGTTTTATGTTATCGCCACAACCAATGAAACTGAAAGAGAAATTCTATAGGACGGCTGTAAAACCAGCTATGCTTTATAAGATGGAATGTTGGGTGATCAAGAAACACTATATCCATAGGATGAGTGTAGAATGTAGCTGAGATGAGGATGTTGGGATGGATGAGTGGCAAGACAAGAAAGGACATAATTCCAAATGAATACACCCAAGGGAACTTAAGAGTGGCTCCATTAGGCAATAAGATAAGGGAAGTAGACTTAGCTGGCCTAATCATGTGCAGCGTATACCTAATACATCATGTGGGCGGAGGGGAGGTTCAAGTGGAATGCTCTAAAAGGGCAAGTAGAAGGCCCAAAAGGTATGGATATATCTAGTGAAAAGAGCTATGGTGAGTTTGACTGAGGATGTGTGATTTTTGAGAGAGTAAAATAGCGGAACAAGATTCATGTAGCCGACCCCAAATAATTGGATTAAGGCTTGGATGATGATCATGATGATGAACAATCCATTGCAACAAATATATCTTAGATTTCAAATATTAAAATAAAAAAATAACCTGAATGACCCTCAAAAAGCAAAAGTTTTTCTTTGCACATTATGCAATTGGAACATCAAAATGGCATTAAAAAATTGATCTTCCTTTTTATTTTTTTTCTTTTGAGTCAATCCCACATGGGCGAGGCTGTTTTTTTGTTTTGAGTGAATCTGATCTATGGATGAGGCAATGAATAAAATTCTCTAAAACTAAAGGCACCATTGGGAATCCTCATATCTGGGGTCCAAATCGTTTCCCTAGGTAAGGGGCTATTCCCTAAGTGGCCATGGGATTGTTTGCCTAGAAGTTAGGACGAGGTGAGATGTGCTCGTGCTGTCTTTGCTTGAGGCAATCACTTTGGGAACCTAGTCTCTGTCTTTAATAGCATGGGTCAAGTATAGTGTGAGAGTGGCAGGATGGGATGTTTAGAGGAGTAATAGGAGTTATTCTTAGATATCAGGGTCATGGGGAACAACAGATTGGGTTGGGCATGGCTTCTATCTAGAGCTTTAGGTTCAGAAAGGGGCATAAAGCGTCTTTTCAAGAATTGTATCGTTGGGGAGAGTTTTTTGGGTTCAGGTTCTTGGATTGTTGAGTAACACAATAGGAAGAGAGGATGGAGTCTGGGAGGATTTTGCAAGGTTGAGTGTGGTGTGGGTGTTACTATATAATGGATTGCATATGGATATCCATGCCATCATAATTCTATTGCTTTGTTGTACCTCTTGTTCACCCTTTTGGGCATCAGTAGAAAGCTTTTTTTTAGTTCCATTAATCAAAATTTTTTTTAAAGGAGTTCCATTAATCAAATTTAAATACCATGAATATGCACGAGGTAAATTCTTGCAATAGACCTTATGGTTTAGTAGTACCTTTGTTTTTCAATATCCAGAAATTTTATTCTATTTTGGGTATTCTTTTGATTTGAACTTGATGGGCATCAGAGGGAGGGTGGAAGTAATTTGGGAAAGGTGTAATTATTTTCTTTGACGTAGGGAGCATGCCTTTGCACGTGCCCCTGTTTTATTTGTCTTCTGGCTTTCTATGTGGCTGGATGGATGCCTTTGCACGTGCCCCTGTTTTATTTGTGTTCTGGCTTTCTATGTGGCTGGATGGATGATTCAACTTTTGGGGAATATGTTCAAGTTTTTGGATAATGTGGACAATCCATTTAAATTTAAAATGAGCAAGAAGAGTGTTGGAAATTAGGTATGCTGCTGTACATTGATAAATACTTTCATTATTGCTCCAGGTGCCGCCGACTAGTGTACCGGTCATTGTGCGAGAATATCTAAGAGAACACTTGTTAATATAAGAGGCCTCTTTTGTGGGAGTCTTCTCATTTCAAGGAACATATTCACGCCCAAATTCAAATTACGGCCCTATAACTGCTTTTCCGTCAATAAGAGAACTGAACTGTGGAAGTTGTATATCTTTGTTTATTTCAGGGCAGCGCTTGAGGTAAAAAGGGTTGGTCATTGGTTATTGTACTGTGTGTGTGTGTTGTCGTAGTGGGGCATTAGATATCTGATTTGAAGAGTGGAATTTATTAGCCCTGTGAGGCAGTTTTGGGGATAGTCTGCTCCTGCTGTATTTTTCTTATTTGATGGTGACTTGTGTCAACGATGTTGGGGTTCCTTGGGTTTGGTATGTATTAATGCATTCAGTTTTTAGATAAACGAAGACATTTCTTTGAGAGATTGGTTATGGAATTTGAAAGTTGGATTGGAAAGCCGTTTCTGCCACTTTTAGCTTTAATGACTTCACCAGAGTAAGATCTTGAAATTCTGAACTATTAGTACTGCTTGATCTTTGTTCACTTGTATCTTGAACCTCTTTTTTGTGCATTTGGAGTCTTTAGAGAGAGAGAGAGAGAGAGAGAGAGAGAGAGAGAGAGAGAGTAGGTT